GATGGAACTAGAAGCAGGTGTCCTAGCTCCCAGTCCCCTGCTCAAACCACTAGATAGACTCCCTCTTTGTAACTGTCAGGCCTCTAATGGGGAGCTTTCGCCCTCACCACCTCCTTGGGCAGAAGAGGTGATCTGACCATAGCAGGCACTCTAGAGTTTGTCTTGCAGCTGCGTAGCAGCCAGGAGAGCAGCAGAACGGCACCGCTGGGCTCGCGTGAGCGGCCCACGTTGCTGTGTCTTCCCACCAGGCAGTTTAGATGTGGAGATAAAGTTGTTATGGGTTTGTTGATTTGGTTGATCAGCAGGGCTCAGGGTGGAAGCAGCAGGGACTGCCATAAAAAGGAAATAGGAGCATTAGAGGCTCGTTAATTGCTAGGATGCATCAAAAAAATGGATAGCGGTAATGCAGACCATCTGCTGTAGCGCACAGCAATAACGTTTGTTTAAGGGGAGGGTTGGGAAGGAGTCGCTAACCTGCAAGTCAGGAGGAGAGCGGAACTGCTGCTTATCAGTGCAGATATAACACAGCCAGAAGCAATTCCGATCCACCCTCAGCTTGGCATGTTTATCTACTGTGGGTACCGGAGCATCTGCGCACCTCACAATCGTCAGTGTGTTAGTCCTCCCCGCGCCCCTGGGAGGCTGTGCTGTTCTCTCCATCCTCTGTGAGGGACAGGGTAGAGTTCCTGTCTTGTCCCAAGTCACCCAGGTGTTTTGATTCCCAAGCTAGCAGCATAATCTCTGGCCCATCCTTCGTCTCCTTAAAGTTCTATCCAGGACAAGGGCAGTATGGAGGGACAGTGCAGAAAGTCTGACTGCTTCAGCTCGTTTTCTTATTGATTTTTATTGTCCAATCATCTAAAACACAGACAAAATGAACAAAAAGGAGAGTGAGTGTGAGAGAGAGAGAGAGAGAGAGAGCGCATCTCTATGTTTGAAAAAGAAGCAAAATTGGCAGGAAAAGAAGTGATTTTTATGTTTCTAAGGGTGGTTACTAACTGGATATTTGTAAGTAATTGGCTGTATCTTTTTAAAGCCATTAACACAGCATATTGTAGCTCATTAATTTATTGCCAGAGGTCCTCCAGTCAGAGCTACGTGCAATAGTGTAAATTAGCAACAGTGATTCTGGATTTTAAATTGCCAAATATGTCTACCTTGCCGTAGACATTGACACTGAAAACGATTTTCTAGTTGTACCACAATATAAATTGTTTCCATGGGTGATTTTTATATAACATAGGAAGTTTTTTAAACAAGCGCCTGAGCACTTATGAATAAAAAATAAAACCTGCAGCTAGGAGAGCTGTTACCAGGACTCCCCATCCTCCTGCTTCAGGGCATAAGTTGATCAGCAGCTGGAATCGGGGAGAAATTCCTTCCCCCGTATGGTGCACAGTTCCGTGCAGTTTAGATGTTTTATATTGTTCTCCAAAGTGTTTGTCATTGACTGCTGTTGGATGCAGGTTCCTGGGCTAGCTGGACCATTGGTCTGTTCTGGCACAATGGAAAGTGAGATACCAGGCGAGTGCAACAGGGTCTGGGATTTTGAGCTAGCAGGTGTCAGTCTGCTAAAACTCAAGGAGATTGCAGGCTAGCTGGACCGTCTGGCTGTTCTGAAATGGCAATTGCTAGGTTTTTAAGAGCTCTGCTAGGTGTAGGAGATGGATACAAAGGAATGCTTTCTCATTCATATTCAGACCTCCATGCCTCCTGGTATATCCATCTATTTTAAGAAAGAATCAGATGAGGACCTGTCAGAATCCCCCTTGTGGGCATTAGACACAAATGATCCTCTGGGTTTGGCCTGTCTGCCAGTCTCTGGTGCAGTGACACCCAGAAACGCACATACTAGTGTGGTCTCTGGAGGGCTTCGGTTTGAAGGTGGGATTTTTAAAACTCTGGGATAGGCCCTGCCCCTTGAAGGGAGTAAATAAACTTACGTGCAGACTTTCTCTAGCATTGCCCCACCAGGTGGGGGTCATTTTGAGAGGAGCTGGAGATACGTATACACAAGGGCAGCACGAGTAAAAGAGAATTGTAGGAACACGAGTCTTGTTTGTAAAATGTTTGTATAGCGCCTAGCCCAACGGGGCTGGGGCCTGTAGGCACTAGCTCAGTGCAAATAAAGAGTAGATAGCTCTAGGTAGACAGGTCTGTAATAGATTTTGTGTCACAGCCTTCAACAGTGAAACCTGGGCTCCCATTTATAAGCCCCTGCAGACTCCTTATGCAAATAAGGATGGGGAATCACTTGAAAATAGTCTCTCTCTCTCTCTGCAGTGCTTGTGGTAAAGAGCCAACTGAAGGGCCGGAGGATTTACCAACTTCCCCCCAACCCACAGTCGAGGGGAGGGTGGAGAGCTGACAGTCCATCCATACCTCTCTGAGAATTTTCCAAGAGCGAGGTCAGGCCAACCCTCAATCCCCTCAAGCCAGCGGGCTGGCTCTGACCTCCTTTACATCGCTCTACTCCATTGACATCGCTCCTGATTTGCACCCGCTCCAGTGTCCTTTGCCTGCCAGATACCAGATACCCCTCAAGATGTGCAAAGCCTGGCTTCACTGGTATCTCTGGTCACAGGGGGGTTGTGGCAGCTTTGAGAAGGGCTGTCAGGGAGGAAATCACCAGTTAATTTCCATAGCCCTAGAGAGTGGGACCAAATGGGCAGGCTGGAAATGGAGCCTCTGAGCCCATCAAAGCAACGTTTTATTTGGGGTGTGACAGCGGCATGGTTAAGGCCGGCTGCTGCATGTGATCACGCTTCAGACAACTGCCATCCCAGCATTCCTGGGGAGCCTCTCCAGAGTTGCAGAGCCCCTGGTTTGCTGAGAAAGTTACGGTTTTCCTGCTGGTGGTGCAAAGTGCCAGCTCCTTGGGGACATCCCTTGGGAGAGGCGCTTGTGTCCTGCTGCAAAGCCTCTTCAAAGGGGATGGTCAGAATTAATCTGTCTCAACAACCTGCCCGTCTGCGTTAGCGGCTGCCAATAGACTGGTTGGGTTTGTCTGTAGGTGCCCAAGACTGGGACTGAGCTGGGGTTGGTTTCCTTTCCGGTGCGTCCATATCCCTGCTGCTGAAGGAAAGTGCCTGGATTTGGGTCAGGCACCCAGGTTGAAAACTATCATTTTTCTTATTTATTCTCCTTTTGCAGTATGAATACTCCAAGTCTGTCTGTGTCGCTTCTGACACGTCTGTTGGGTTTCCTAATCGTAACGGAGAGACCTCCCTATGCTGGGAGCTGGACGTGACTTTGGAATAGCTCCTAAGATGGGTCTGTTCCCTGGGGGAAGTGCTGATGAGCTCCTGCCAGGCTCTTGCCCTGCAGAGGCACATTCTGAGCAGGGCTGGACGAGTCAACGTTTTAAGGGTTGTTTTTTGCAAATACCGCTCGGTGGCAGAGGAAGATGGAGGCCTTGTCTGCCTGCAGTGCACAGTGTGGGTGAGAACACTCCCAAGGCAGTGAGAGAGGGAGCAGGGCCTAGCATTGTCTGCGGAGCCCCAATATAGATTATAAGCAGCCCATAGCAGCACAGTGCGCTCTGCACCTATGGTCATCTTAACTGCCGAGGTGGTGACCCGCAGAGACTCCAAAACCCAGCGTGCCGTGCTGTGTCTTCATTTGAGCAGCCAGACCACATGGCATGCTTGGCTCTGTAGACTCTGAGGACCCTCACCTCCGTATTAAAGACATGGGCTTGTTCTACTGACAGGTTTCTAATGCATCCATTGCCAAGGTACCACCGTGCCCCTTCTTTGGGCACGGAGAGAGCGTCCCTGTTCTGTGGGACAGGGAGGAGTTCAGCGCCAGGATGTCCGTGCAGGCGTAGCGTTTGGGACTAGCCATCCGACCCCTCCCATTCTTTAAAGGCAGGTGCTGAAGTTTTTGGATTCCTGGCCCATGACTTGGGGGGGAGACTCGTGATTGACGCTGATGTTCAGATGGTCACCAGGACATCACGGCTGCAGGTCTGACAAGGTCACGCCAGTCTCTCCTGTGACCAGACGCCTGAAGGTGTCCTGGGCCTGTACTTATGGAGCGTTTTCACTGACAAGTCTCATTCATGCCCACTTCAGGCAGTTAAATGGACACATCTCTGCATCTTCCCCCGGTGCGACACCCCAGCAAAGGACATGTGGCTTCTGATGGGCGTGACCTTGTTTTATAGCCTTCAGTTTAATATTGTGCATTAACACCATGGACTGTGCTGTAGGGGCAGTGCTGGGGCAGGATCCCAGAGGTCAGAACTAGCAGGCTTACCAGGAATGGAAGAAAACCTTCCTGTTGTGGCCGCAAGGACCTTTATTGAGGATCCAATCTGACAGCCCTGTGTTGGCTGAAAGCTGGTGTAATGCAGACCTATTTGCTGGTGGTGCTTTGAATGCCCTCTAGTGTGTGTTCTCTAGCACACAAAGCATGTGTAATGACTTAATCCCTCCTGCGAAGAAATTTGGCACGATCTCCCCTTTGTAGATGGGGAAGCAGAGGTGTGAGAGCAATGGGCCGGTGGCTGAGAACCCAGAACCCAACTCCCAGAATGTGCTGGCAGGAACAGTCTTTCAGAGGGGCTGAAAAATCAAGGCACTGACTGCCTTCATTAGGGTCAGTAACCCCAGTGCCTTGCTAATTTCCACTCTGAACAATTACATTCTGCCTACCTAAAGTTCTCGCTACATTACTGTGTGGGGTTGATGTACACTGCTAAACCATTGCTGTGTTCTTCCCCAGCACTGGCTGCAGTGATCTCTCTCCAGGCATTAGCTGGTAAAGTGCTTTGGATGAAAGGGGCTGCATAACTGAAAGGCTATTGTTCTTAATCAATACAATACGGAAGCGTGACAGTTACCTAGGAAAATCTTAAGTATTTGTTGTCCAGTTCCATACAAACTAATAAAATGTCAGTGCAACAAAACAAGATGGGGCAAATCCCTTTGCTGTTGTAACTCTGTCTAAATCTGTTTTGTACAGAGTTCTCATCATTCTTCTGTTTTCTCTTTCAGAATAAAGTCTTAAATGTGGATGCAGTGAAGGTAAAGCTGCAGGTAAGCCCCTGACCCGCATTCGTCAGCTCTGCATGAACCTGAACTCGTCCATGTCAGCTTGTTTGCTGTGGGGCTTAGTGCTGCTGGCTATGGTACCTAGCACCCTATCAATACCCACGGTTGATCGAGGGCTTCATGAAACCTTTCTGCACTTCCAAAAAAAAAAAGAAAAGAAAAATAAAGAACCAACACGTTGGTTTGGATTGGGTTTAGTTTTAAAGGATAGCTTGTTTAGGTTGTTTACCTTCTTTATGAATGAGCTGGATGTAGGACTAGAGAGCACACTGATCACATTTGCAGATGACACTAAGCTGGGGTGTGGCCAGCACTTTGAGGATTAGAGCTAAAATTCAGAGGGATCTTGATATATTGGAGAACTGGGCTATAGACAGCAAAATGAAATTCAACAAAGATAAAAGTAAGGTCCTGCAGTGAGGGAAGAAAAACCTAATGCACAAATACAGAATGGGGGATAAGTGGCTTGGCAAGGATCTGGGAGTTGTGGTGGATCACAGCCTCAACATGAGTTCGCAATGCGATGCTGTTGCAAAAAAAGCAAATGCATTTTTAGGTTGTATTAACAGAAGCATAGCATGCAAGTCACAGGAGGTGATAGTATCGCTCTACTTGGGGCTAGTTAGGCCTCTGCTGTTTAAAAAGGGATCCCCCACCTCCCCCGTCGCCATCACAGCATAGACCAAGAGACCATCAAACGATCACAAGTACTCTGGCAGAGCAAGACATTGCAGACCTCTGAACTCATGTAATGGAGCTGAATTCAGATCCGCTCAGGCTGAAGAATTCCCAGCAAGGTTGGCTTTCATATCTGTTGGGCTTTCTTAACAGGGTTCCCCAGTGTATGGTCTCCCCAGGGAATCTGGAGTTTTGCAAGAGATGTAAGGAACGTACCAGAGTGCTCTCTCCCGTCTGCAAGCGACTTTCGAACGTGTGCAGCAGGGTAATGAAATCAGCAATATCTAACACCAAACAAAGCATCAGCCACACGCTGAGGAGCAGCAGTTGGCAGAATATCTTTGGCAGTTGTGATTTTTGCATTTAGTTCCTCTCTGTGACTATTTACCTGTTTCTTTGTCTTTATAATAGCTTTAGTGGGAATTTTTTTCAGCGCTGCTGAGAGGCATCTCTGGAGACAGGCCTTTGTGCACCATTAAACAAGTACAGCATAGTTGGCCGGAGTGCAAGCTTCCCCTGCCTTCCCTGCTAATGCCCCTTAAGCCTCATTGTGAGGGGTCACTTGGGGAAGGGAGGGGAGGCTAGTCTCCATGGTCCATTGACTGCTTGACCTCCCTGCTGGTTATTCTTCTGCTGGGGACACTGGTCTAAACCCAGCAGCTCTTTCCACATTGACGACTGAACCACCACTGGGTGAGAATAAATTCTGATTGGACACAGCCCCGATTCAAACCAGTTACTTGGATCTTGTATATACCTGGCATTAGCCTTGATTTCAGCTGCTGATTTAATTGCACCCATGCAGACAAGGAAAGCCACAACTAAAACTGCTGGCGGCCATCCCTACTTGAAAGTGTATATTTAAAAACAAAAAGTCATACCTTAAAACTCTACCAAAACAAGACACTCCATTGTACCCACTTCTCCCTGAGGGAGAAGATGAGAGAACAAACAACATGTTGCTTAATACACTACTGGAAGATGCTCAGATATTATGGTGGTAAGCTTTTGGTATAAGAACCTATATAGAACAGAATAGACACCAGGGTTCCACTGGTCTAAATCATGTCTTTCCTTGTCTGCAATGGCGGTGCATTATGATGGCTGAAATCCAGGCTAATTCCTGGTGCAGACAAGACCCTTGAAGTCAAAGACTCCGTGGTGAAAGACACTGTTACCCAGTCCCCTGATCCATCCCGGCCCCATGATATCTCAGCTCAACATCTTCAGCTCCAAAAGAATCTGAGCTGCTGTAATGCCACAAGATCTGGCTGTCTTCTGTGACCTCGGTGCTGGAAGCTAACTAATAACATTAGCTCTCCTTTTCCCCCAATAGGATTGTGTGTTTCTGTGCAAACACAACACTGCATTAAAAACTGATAAATTCAATTAGTAGGTCCCCACACATCCATCCAGCAAATGGATTTTTGATTAAGGAGGCATTGTAGGCCATTTGTCAAAAGCCATCATTTCGGTATTCAGACATGCTGAAGAATGGTGACACGCCTCTTAAATATTTATTGCGCTTGTCACTTTTCCTATTCTTAGCCCTACAAACATCCCCCTGTTGCAAATTAATCATGTGCAAATAGATCAGACCATGAATTGTTGTTGAAATGAAATGTTAAAGTAATTTTCTCAGGAGTGCGCATTGTCACTGGATTTTATATTTATTTTCCAAAAGAATTTCTGGTTGGGTCTTAATTTTTCTCCCATCGTTGCTGAAACCCGCAATGTTCCCTCCGTCGCTCTGACAGCTGGTGTTGCTCACATGTGAGCAGACTGCTGAACTCCCAGCTCTGAATCACTTCAACCTGCGGTACGTGGCCTGGCAGAACATGAAGCCATCAGGCGCTGAGTGGACCATTTTCCATGGTGCTTCTCTTGGCGGGATGGAGACATGGAATGAGTAGCTTGTGGTGACAGCATGAGTGAAACAGAACCTGCCTGTGGCCAACACCTAGCAATGAAGTAATAACAAATAGAACTAACTGGCTCGATTTGCAAAGGCTTTGTGGTGTAATTGCATATACAACCCCTTGGCTGGGCCAGCTCACAGGTGGGCTGAAAGGAAAGAGATTCTGATCGCTAAGCACAAAGAGCAAATCTCTGAAAAGGTGGCTCCCATACTATTATGGGTTGGGTGTGACCACAGCCCTTCATTGAATAGAGTGGTAAGACACAATGAAGTTACCTGGTAGCTGAAACAATAACAACCTCCACCGCATACGCCGGCCTATGTCACCACCCACAGCAAGGCACTTGGGCAAAGGGGGTTCACTGGCTATTCTTTTGTGAAGGTGCGTGTGTCTGAGAAAGCATCAGAAAGACCAGAGAAGCTGGGAGATAAGGGGCAGAAAAGCCAAGAGCAGTCACGCTGGGAGTGTGGCCCTCAAAAAAGCCGGGAGAGCGCTTTTGGGCAGAGTGTTGTCTGAAAGAGGCTGGGAGCGATGAGCAAAGACATGACCTCCTGTTGCTTGATTCCTGCTGGGTTCAAAGAAATAGGACTTTGAATCAGGTGCTTCTTTGATGCAATCCTGTTTCTTTAAAAAGGCTGTGCAGTCATAATTTCTAACAGGACCAACCCACAGGACCCCAACATTTTTGGCTAACCACTTGAGTCAAAAGGGGTAACTTTATAGTAGAATTAAAACAATAATTAGCAGTCCAATCAGAAGCTGCCATCTTGATAGCGCACTGGTGCAGGGATGATTTGGGGACTGCAGGCCCCTTTCAACGTGTGACTAAGCAGGAGGCTTCCAAAATCCTCATTCCATTGCTTCTCTGGAGTCCTTGGATCAGCTCTAGCTAGCCCCTCCCCCTTCATTCATTTTAAACTTCAAATAAATGAAACATCTTTAAAAGGAAAACAAAGGAGCCCAGTGTATCCTCCCAGCTCCCAGAGCAGCCTGGGCTGGTTTGAGCAGCTTGCATTGTGTCTGATGGTGCCCTGTCTTTGCCCTTTTCAGATCTGGGACACCGCAGGGCAGGAGAGGTTCCGCAGTGTCACTCACGCCTATTACCGAGATGCCCATGGTAAGAGCTTCTCTGCGCTCCCTTTTTGTAGGGGGGCCAAATAGAGTTTAAAGGGACAGTGTTAAGGGCCCCCGGGATCATGGATCCACACAGAGCGTCATGCTCCTGGCGGGTCCCTGTTGCTGCTGTTTGAGTTTGTGCTCCTTGCTCGGGCTGGGGAGTGAGTCTAGACAGCTCTGTGTTAGCATCACTTTCCCCTCCTGGTTTCTGTGCCCCAGCCTGCTGCTGGTGTGTCTGGGGCACAGCTAAGGTGACCAGATAGCAAGTGTGAAAAACTGGGGACGGGGGGGGGGGGTAATCGACACCTATATAAGACAAAACCCCAAATATCAGGACTGTCCCTATAAAACCAGGACATCTGGTCATCCTAGGCACAGCATGGCAGGAAGGGAGTCCATCATTTAAAAAAGAATCTCCCAGGGAGATTTAAAATTATCTCCTCTATATTGTCCAGCTCCTCAGTGACTGAGCAAATGTCACACCTCCCACACCACGCTATTTTACAGAGCTGTTATTGAAAGTGGACGCTGTTAGCACCTGAAAACACCCTTCATTCCTAGCGTTAGTACCAGAAATGCAGGTGATTTTTAAATGGAAAGAATTTTAAAAGATTAAATTGATTCATTTTCGGCCTCATCCTGCCTCTGTTGGAGTCAGCGAAGAAATCCACGGTGCAGGCTCAAGCCCTGTCTGCCCTTTTCCTGGGGCAAGGAACACAGACTGGTTAGTTTCACATTTAAGAGCCTCTGCTGGTGGAAATTGGCAAGGCTCTGTTGAAGGCTGTCAGGAGAAACTGACCCTTTAAGGGAGCTGGGCTCATTCTCACCGGTGCCAGGTTTAGCTTACTCCTCATGTGAAGGGCATGATTGGTTCTTGGAAAGACTCCAGTGCAGCCCCCATGCAAGATTTTGTCTTTCACGCTCAGAACCCACCCTTTATCAGTGGGGCTCTGCCCCAACCTGAGTGGGTGTTTAACAGCTGTGGGCAGGCTGGTGGAACAATTTGTAGAGTTGGGGTGCTGAAAGCCATTGAACAGAACAGTAAACCCCATATATGAGGGAAGCCAGGCATTCAGCTGCCATTATTCCTTCAAGCCACCCCCCTAGATCCTGCCTGTGGGTCTCAGAAGCCAGATCTCGTACCATTCTGTAGTGATGAAATCTCTGCAGTAACGAACGGCCAATAGGGACAGAGCTGGAAGGAGCTCTAATGATATGGTATGCTCTCCCTTTGAGAGTTTCCTCTTCCAGAGCATCCCCAGCCCTCTGTTAAGCCATCTCCAGGCCGACCTCTTCTCTTCCGTTTCTGCCCAGGGAGCTCCAGTCAAAGTGAACGGGAGCGCCATAGATCTGTCAAGGGAAGATGAGACACTGGTGTGTCCCTCCTGGGAAATGGTTACTGAACAGCACGTTCTTGTAGCTCCAAGTGAAATGAGCTGTAATAATGACAACAGACATTTATGCAGCTCCTTTCCTTGGGGACAGCTCAAGAGTGCTTGACAAACGGTATATGCAGGAATCTTCGGGGCGGCTGGGGAGAACGCAGCTGTTGCTCAACATTTCAGGGAAGAAATGAAGGAGAATCCCAGGTCTTTGCAGAGGGATCTAAGACAGGAAAATGGAATCACCCAAGCGGGAATTTGGGCAGTACCCTGGGCTCTCTTTTCAGAGGATGTCTAAAAAAAAATTTTATTTTTCACATACACCGTCTCAGGCAGAATATTGGTTTGAAATGTTTCAGTGTTTCACAGGAAAATTTCAAAATGAAACAACTTTTGTCACTAAGAAATTTTGAAAAAATTGAAAATTTGACATGTTTTCCTTTTTCTTCCCAGTTCTTGTTTTCTTTGGTTGCCAGTGAATGCAATACAGGGAATAATGGGTAGTATTTTCTTCACCCCTTTTTCCTTTTCTTTTCTTTTCCACTCTGTAACATTTCCAAAGATGGAGAAATCTTTGAAAAATCCGACTGGAAAATGGGAAATGGGAGGGGAGGAGGAAAGCCCTAGCTATCGCCAGCACTCATTGTATCGCACTGAAAGGTGAAAAACGAAAAAATGGAGAGGAGAAAACAAAAGCCTAAATCTTCCAAAGTCTTTGTTTTTTAAAAAAATTTCAGTTCCAAACTATGTTTAATTTCAAAGTTTCCCTTTGAAATCTCAATCTCTCTCTCTCTCTCTCAAAAAAAAAAAAGAAAAGGCTGATTTTTTTCAATGAAATCCCATTTTTCCATGGGAAAACTTTGACCACCTCTAACCACAAATAGTTAAGCCCTGAGCTGTGTGCAGAAGGTAAGAGGCCGAGCCCCCAAGAGAGCTCTGCTGGGGCAACAGCTCAGTACCAACTTGAGGCAAAGATTCATAGGTTCTAAAGCCAGAAGGGACCATTACGATCCTCTAATCTGACCTCCTGGGTAGCACAGGCCAGAGAACTGCCCCAAAGTAATTCCTACAGCAAATCTGTTCGAAAACTCCAATCTTGGTTTCAAAGTTGTCGGTGATCAAGACTCCACCATGACCTTGGGTAAATTGTTCCAGTGGTTAATTACTCTCACTGTTAAAAATTTAGGCCTTATTTCACGTCTGAATTTGTGTATCTTCAGCTTGCAGTCTTTAGATCATGTCCTTTCCCTGCTAGACTGCAGAGCCCATTGTTAAATATGTGTTCCCTCTGTAGGTATTTATAGACTGTGATCAAATCACCCCTTAACCTTCTCTTTGTTAAACTAGATCAATTGAGCCCCTGGAGTCTATCACTATAAGACATGTTTTCTAATTATTCTCATGACTCTTCTCTGAATCCTCTCCAATTCATCGACCTCCTTCTTGAATTGTGGGCACCAGAACTGGACACAGGATTCCAGCAGCAGTCGCACCAGTGCCAAATGCAGAAGCAAAATAACTGCTCTGCTCCTCCTCGAGATTCCCACGTTCGCTCTTTTGGCCACAACATCGCACTGGGGGCCCTTGTTCAGCTGATTCTCCACCACAACCCCCAAATCTTTCATGTACTGAGCCACCAACACCGTTTCTTACGGGTCCTGCTGTTTTCCTTGCAGGTCTTCCGCCCACATTCTGAACACGGCTGACTGCTTGGATTGAGAGAGCAGACAAGTTCACATCCCCAAGCCAGTGCACCTGCAGGCTGTGTGCTTAGTGTTATCTCAGTGCCTCTGACTGTTAGGTGGTATCTCAGGCGTGCTTTCTTTGGAGGAAAAGCCAGCTGGCTTTAAGTGCATTGATCACCGCAAACTGGAACTCTTCCTTTGCAACCCAGTGATATCTACAGATGCTTTCCTTCTGTGAAATGAAGATTAACCTTCCCCCACTGAGCAACCCGTCTGACTTTTAAACAGTCCACATTTAGTCAGCGCCTTTATCCTGTTTGACAGAATGAGAGTACTCTTGGGAGATGGTCGCATACTCATGTGCAGAGGGCCCCATGCTGGTGAAAGGCCAAGGATCGCATGTAGCCAATGGAAGGCTTGCAAAGATCACGTGCATTGCAGGGAACATGCCAAGCTAATATCCCGAGCATCCTCCTTGCCTTGGCATATCATGTACCCGTGGCATCCTAGTGCTTTGTTGGCATGTGGGTGGTCTTTTCTTGGCAAAACTCCCCATCAGCCTATGTCTTGAGTAAGGATTTGGCTTTTGGGTGTCACTATTTCACTGTGAATGATTCCAAGTGCAGCCGGGTAGGGGATAACGTTATAGTTGCTTTGCTCTGATGATAGCCCATGTGTTAGGAGAACCTTTGCTCTTACTTGGTGTGAAATTCGGAATCGTGAGTTAGTGACTTACACGGGTTTTTATTCATTTATTCCGATCTGCTGTAGCTATTGTGTTCAGTCACAGAAATAAAGCATAGACTTTTAGAGGAACTGGGACGTAAAGCTTTGGCTCCCTGAACAGTCTCAAGCCAATATTAGATGTACCCATGAACAATGCTGGAGAAAGGAAGGCAGCTCACCGTCCTTTCAGAGAACTGATTTCTTTGGTAAGACACGGTGTCCTTTGTACGTCGGGCATGTTGTACTTGGTCACTTTGTAGGTTAGTTCTAGGGGATGCTTCCCAGCAGGTTATCAGCCCTGTGGTCAGTATCTCAACCAAACCCCTGCACCCAAGCGGTCCTGGACTTTGCGGAAGTTGGGATCTTCATCCAGACTTTGTGGCCCCAGTGTATCGACCTATCTGCAGCATCTGTAGATGTGGTAGGGCAGGGGCAGCAAGGGACCGACTGGCTGGCGACTAGCCCTAGAGCTAACCTTCTCGTACATCCCCTTGTTTGGGTGCCAGGGAGAGCTGGGGGAATTGGGGGCAGGAGGGGAGTGGTGGAGAGGCAGGGTTTGAGTTTCACTTTTCAGGGGACCGGGGGGAGTTTTCTTGTTCCTCTCTGAGAGGGAATGGAGCAGCGCACCCCAATGGAGAACAGGGACGGGGGAGTGTCAGGGCGGGTCCCCCTGACCCCGGCTGACCGCTGATTTTTTTTTTTTATCTGCGAGGCTGATGTTAAAATGCAAAGCAAGTGGAACTCTGGAGGTTGCGTTTTAATTTCATATTCGTTTAAGACAGAATATGTGGCTAAGCCAGGCACTCAGAACACGCTCTGCGGGGAGGGGCATGGAGTTACCTGAAAGGCCTCGATGCTGCGGCAGCCAAAGCTCTCCTGCCTGAAATGGGAGTTGGAGCAGGCCTCTAGGGCTTGTGAAGGTTGCTGAATTGAGACCCCTGGCAGCTGAATTCTCTGCCTGCAGATGCAGCAGCGGCGTAAGACCACACACTGCACTGCCCTTGTACCCCCACGTGATCCTGGAGGGGGCCTCATCCGAGAGGACAATCTCCATCTCCAAAGTTGATCCATGGCACTTCTTGCTGAGTCCCCCTTCAAGGGACCAGTTGTTGCCAATTGTAATGTGCAAACATAAGCCACTGAACAGCCATTAGCTCGGGGTGGGTTTTGGTCATTCACCGCTGACCTGGCCAGGATTCAAACCAGTGTTTAGCCATTAAAGGCTCACTGTCACATTCTCATTCTCCCCGGTCATCCAGTCCTCTGTCGTCTTTGGCACACCGAGGTACCAAGCCCCCAGACATATAGCATGTGCGCTCTGACTGGTGCATTGCACTGGAGCAGGCTTGTCCATTTGGGGTCTCCCCCAGGGGGTTGTAGTAGTTTGGCCTCTGCTATTTTTTCCCTTGTGTTGTGCATTCTTCCAGTTTTTTCACGGGATACACGAAAGAGGGAGATGCCCTTCTGCCCCCAGCCTGAGCTGTTCCTGTAAGAGTCTCCCTGAGCGACAGAGGAGCATCATGGGAAGAGGTTACCGACCAGGCAAGAGAGGCACTTGTGTAAACCACTGTGATAATGCGCAGGACACTCAGCTCCTGAACGAGATGCCTGGGAAGTTCCCGTTCTTGCCCTGTGTCATTTACAACTGAATAATACCTATAGAAAGGGCCTGATTCACATTCCCACGAAGGCCCCTTGGCCCCCGTCAGGCAGTCATGAAGGAGTACATGTGAGACTCAGGCCCAAGGTGGTGTAGACCAGTCTGTGAAGGCGCTATGCAGATGTGTCATCTCTGTTCATCGTCCTTGCCAAGATTTTGGTCATTTCTTAGAATCATAGAATCATAGAATATCAGGGTTGGAAGGGACCTCAGGAGGTCATCTAGTCCAACCCCCTGCTCAAAGCAGGACCAATCCCCAATTAAATCATTAATTCTTTCTGGACTCTGACTTTCCTGGATCGTAGGCACATTCCTGTGCCCAGCACAATGGGGCCTCGGGTGCTACTTTATTGTCAATGACAATTATCTAAAATTGCCAGTTGCTTTTCCAGTCCCCAGCTGCCTCCCCCACCAGCGAGGGGGGAGCTTGCATCCTGCATCTGGGGTGTTGATGTCTCCTTAAAAGGACTGGCTGCATCTTCAGTGTCTCCCCCAGGCAGTGCTGTGGCAGGGAGAGTTCAGAATATTGCTCGTCCTGGCACTTGCTGCTGGGTCTCTCAGGCTCTCTGGAGACTGGTGCAATTCCCATGCAAGTTTTGCATAGCTGAGAAGGTTCCTACTAAATTTACAAAAAGAAAGCTGTTTTATGGAGGGTGCCTTCATGATTTCCTAACCCATTGTGAGAGATACTAATGATTTCAGTAAAACACATATTACAAGTACAAAGCTTTTGCCTCTTTGCATGCACCTAAGAATGTAAAAATTGCCACAATGGGTCAGATCAATGGTCCGTCTAGCCCAGTGTCCTGTCTTCTGACAGTGGCCAGTGCCAGATGCTTCAGAAGGAATGAAAAGAACAGGGCAATTATTGAGTGTCCCATCGCCTGTTGTCCAGTCCCAGTTTGTGGCAGCTGGAGGTTTAGGGACACCCAGAGCATCCCTGACCGTCTTGGCTAATAGCCATTGTTGGACCTGTCCTCCATGAACTTCTCTAATTCTTTTTTGAACCCAGTTGTACTTTTGGCCTTTACAACATCTCCTGGCAACGAGTTCCAGATTGACTGTGTGTGGTGTGAGGAAGTACTTCCTTGTGTTTGTTTTAAACCTGCTGCCTTATTTCATTGGGTGACCCTGGTTCTTGTGTTATGTGAAGGGGTAAATAACACTTCCTTCTTTGTTTTCTCCACGCCGGTGATAATTTTACAGACCTCTGTCATATCCCCCCTTAGTTGTTTGTTTTCTAAGCTGAAAAGTCCCAGTCTTATTAATCTCTCCTCACATGGAAGCTGTTCCATTCCCCGATCATTTTTGTTGCTGTTCTCTTTACTTTTTCCAATTCTAATATATATATATATATATTTAGCTGGAGTGACCAGAACTGCCCACAGTATTAAATGTGTGGGCATACTATGGATTTGTATAGTTGCATTATGATATTTTATGTCTTCTTCTCTCTCCCTTTCTTAATGGTTCCCAACATTCTGGTCGCTCTTTTGCTGGTCAGCTCGTTGAACAGATGTTTTCAGAGAGCTAGCCATGATGAATCCAAGATCTTTGTTGAGTGATAACAGCTAACTTTAGATCCATTATTTTGCATGTACAGTTGGGCTTGTGTTTTCTACTGTGCATTACTTTGCATTTCTCAGCATTCAGTTTCATCGCCCTGAAAACATCTTGCTGTAAAAAGCAAAACAAACAAACCCCCTGTGACCATTCAGCAAGCAATTCCCTGCATTAACTGTGTCTTTTCCTCTCTCCACAGCTTTGTTACTGCTGTACGATGTTACAAATAGAGCATCGTTTGACAACATCCAAGTAAGTTGGACACGGTCAGGTCCCATGTGGAATGTGATGAGAATTTAAGGCAAATACTTTGAGTTTCTTGAGTTGTTGTACGCAGGTTGGTCGGTTGGTGTTGATGACATCCCAGAATTGTTTTTCAGTGTTTATAAGATCCTATTGGCCGGTCTGTTCTGCCTCACCTTAAGAGCAGGGTTGGTGAAGCAGGTCCCGTAAACCAGGATAACTCTCACCTCCCTGCAGCTCACACTAAGCTCTTCAGTCCAAACCTTTCTGAAGTCTGATTCATTATTTTCAGCAGTTGTTATTTTGGCTGCCGCCTCAGCCTTTCAGGGCTCCCATCTGGCGTGGCAGGGCAAAGTCTGGAATACCCGGGCACAGGCGGCTATCGTGCTAATTCTGGCCAGACATGAAGTAGGAAGTTCTGGCGGTCTCACAAGACCCTGTTTTGGCAAGATCTGAAGCCTGATTTTGCAGACCCAAGAGACTTCAAGAATTAGAAGACGCTTGAGCATCAGCTCGAGTTTTGCATGCTCCTCTGTACTGCCAAGCCTTTTGATGCCTTCCTGCTATCTGTGAGCAACTGACTCGGGCTTTAGTTCTGAGCAAGTGCTTGTTATGCTCTCTGCACTCTTGTTCTCGGATTGCATTCCAGAGGCAAGTGCACTTACGGAATAAATTACTGTGAACAATTAGGACCTTGCGAAACACGGAGATTTCTGTGTAATGCTATGTAGCTTGAAAAAGAAATAATCACAGTCTGGTTACCAGGAGATTGATTCTGTTGACACCAAAGACTCACGAGAGTATTGACACTTGCTGCTGGGTAATGGGAGCAGCAGGGGAGAATGTCTTCCATTCAGACACAGGAGTCTGATGAGAAGGGGTGTATATATAGCGATCTCCCTAAGAACACTGCACGCCTCTTCTCCTGAGAACAGGCCCTTGCAATCGACCCAAGTAAATTGCGTGGTGATACAGTACTGGGTATGATGATCCACATCCCCTAATCCTGCTCATTACTGCCCTATTGTCGATCCCTCCTGCAATTATTATTACTGATATTACTGTAGCACCTAGGAGCCCTAGTCACGGACCAGGTAAGGCTCCCATTTTACAAACACACAACAGAAAGACAGTCCCTGCACAAAGAACTTCCAATCTAAGTGTAAGACACAAGATACCAGATGGAGGCAAACCGACCAACAAGGGAGCACACAGAAACAATGAGGCAATATTGGTCAGCCCAACAGCCTGCGGTCTCAGTCCACCGCTGGCCTGACAATTGTCAAGTTTTTTTGTTGCCATCACAGCAGAAGAGATTTGAAGGAGGACAGTGGGGTGGCTTTGCAGATGTGGAGGGAGAGCTCCTCCCAAGCATGAGGGCAAGGCTGGGAGAAAACCTGAAGGTGGTGGTTTGAAAATGTAACAAGTGGTATCTTAATTACAAAAGGAACTAAACATGGGGCAGCAGCTTTCTGAGCTGGCACTGGGAAGTGGGTTGCTGTGAATTATTTTATATCAGCAGTGGAAATCCTGCATTTTCAAATGCACATTCTGTTACCTTTCACTAAAGGCACGGCAGAGTGCGAAACGCTGTGCTCATGAAAAGAGGACCTGTTTTGCATTTGTAATACAGTGCAGAAAATCTCAAATGTTGGGTGGATTCATGTTTCACTACAAGTATTTCAGTCACCTGTGTTCATCGAATCCTAGAGTATCAGGGTTGGAAGGGACCCCAGACGGTCATCTAGTCCCACCCCCTGCTCGAAGCAGGACCAATCCCCAGTTAAATCATCCCAGCCAGGGCTTTGTCAAGCCTGACCTTAAAAACTTCTAAGGAAGGAGATTCTACCACCCCCCTAGGTAACGCATTCCAGTGTTTCACCACCCTCCTAGTGAAAAAGTTTTTCCTAATATCCAACCTAAACCTCCCCCCACTGCAGCTTGAGACCATTACTCCTCGTTCTGTCATCTGATACCATTGAGAACAGTCTAGAGCCATCCTCTTTGGAACCCCCTTTCAGGTAGTTGAAAGCAGCTATCAAATCCCCCCTCATTCTTCTCTTCTGCAGGCTAAACAATCCCAGCTCCCTCAGCCTCTCCTCAGAACTCATGTGTTCCAGTCCCCTCATCATTTTTGTTGCCCTTCGCTGGACTCTCTCCAATTTATCCACATCCTTCTTGAAGTGTGGGGCCCAAAACTGGACACAGTACTCCAGATGAGGCCTCACCAATGTCGAATAGGTTATGCTCACACACCGGGTGGGGAGTGGGGGAGATGCACAAACACACTTCACCCCTTGCTGTAATGTAGATGAACTGCTCTACGTTACACTGCAGTAGCCTGTGTTTTGTGGTCATGATGGATCTTTCTGATTAGAGCATTTACAAGTCCACTTAGTTTTTGGCCTCCTATGTGAGAACTGTTTAAAAAGCCCATAAAGCATCCCCCACTATCCCCCTGACTGCTGAAACTAGAACTGGTTCCATTTCTTCTGCAGCAGAGTATGACGCGAGGTGGGGAGGGCTCTGAGTTACCACAGAGAATTCTTTCCCAGGTGTCTGGCTGGTGAGTCTTGCCCACATGCTCAGGGTTTAACTGATCACCATATTTGGGGTCAGGAAGGAATTTTCCCCCAGGTCACATTGGCCGAGACTGTGGGGGATTTTCACCTTCCTCTGCAGCATGGGGCACAGGTCGCTTGCAGGTTTGAACTAGTGTAAATGACAGATTCTCTGTAACTTGAAGTCCTTAAACCATGATTTGAGGATGTCAGTAACTCAGCCAGAGGTTAGGAGCCTATTACAGCAGTGGGTGGGTGAGGTTCTGTGGCCTGCGATGTGCAGCAGGTCAAACTAGATGATCACGACGGTGCCTTCTGGCCTTAAAGCCTCTGAGTCTCTGCTCCCCGTTGGCCAGGCGGTGGAATTTTGGCTTCGTGAAATTGAGACTCTGCTTGGAAGAAGCACTGGGAAGTAGCGACCGTGGTGGCATCTGATTCCTGTCTCTCGCTTCCCTGACGGGTCATGTCCTCCATGATCTGCAGCGTTGGACGGACGCTCCAAGCGGGCTGACGGCAAAACAATGTAGAATCCCAAATGAGCAAACTCAGTCTCCCAGGCCTTTTCATTTACAATCACTGAGTTTAGCACGTCACATTAAAGGCCAGGAGTATCCAAAGTTCATATTGAGGTGCTTGGCTCCTGGTGATGTTACTACCTTTATCCAATCACCTTGCACCTCCTGAGACTGTAAGGAGACAATAGAGGATTAAAGTAGGTCTTGCTCTTACCCCTTCCCCATCTTCCCTGCGCCAAGAGAGGGCTGTATGCAGCCAAGGGCCCGAGCTATAGAGTTCTGACTGCAATTCCCCCATCGCACACAGCAACTACACCGCACCGCGTATCTTCTCCTTTACAAAGGCCCATCCAGCCCATATCCTGTCTTCCGACAGTGGTCAGTGCCAGGTGCCCCAGAGGGCATGAACAGAACAGGTCATCAACAAGTGATCCACCTTGCTCAGGGCATATCCTGACTTCTCCGGGTTAGGCCCTGGGTGAATTCCAGGCTTGACTTGATGGTGACTCAGTTTGTTTCCATCATGTAACGAGGCTGAGTGAATGGGCAGCCAGCACCCTTTGGGATGAGAAAGCCCTGCTGCGTGTCTGTGAGGTTGCCATCTGGTGGCTGCATGAGCATGTATAGATTGGGCCAAAGCATCCCAGCTTGTTGCTAGAACTCCCCACACGAGCGTGAGTTTAACCCTGCCTCCATTCCCTCAGTACCAGCAAGGCTCCCCAGGTGCCTCTGGCAGGTCCAGGAATATCTTTGCATGCTGTTAAACTGCAGGAGCCGAGCTCCAGCCTCCCCCCCAGGGGCCATGCAGCTGGTATGTTCTCTCTCTCCCATTGCTCCTCAGGGATTTCATGCTGCAGAATTTGTCCCCTCTTGGTGCAGGGTCCGTTGCCTGGCACTTGCCAAGAAAGGTGCGATGATATCCAAGCATGGTGGCACCAAACCCTGCATTGTATGGGAGAGGCACCTGTGTTTGGGGCCCTCCTTGCAGAGCAGGGTCTGTTGTTTATAGGGACCATCTAGGGCTCAGTCGGGCAAAGGGAACTGTGTAGATGGACCCATTGCCAAACCTGGGGCCCAGCCCTGCCCCCCCGAGCAGTTGTGCCAGGCTCAGAAGTGCTTCTGCTCGGAGGGAGGCTGGCCAGTGGGGACCCTGCCCCGGGATATTCTGAGGTGTCTGTGTGTCTCTACAGCTCTGTCCTGCTCCCCGCACCGGCACAGCATGGCCGTGACCTGTGGTTCTGTGCCCAGTGAGCATCTGCTGAAACCAGGGCCAGCGTTAGACTCGCTGGGGCCCAGGGCAGAAAGCCGAAGGCCGAACCCTGCTGCCTGGGGCTGAAGCCCGAGCCCCACAGAGCACCTTAGCTTTGTGGGGCCCAGTGTGGCATGGGGTCCCAGGCAGTTGCCCTGCTTGCTAACCCCTAACGCCGGTGCTGGCTGAAACTGGGCCCACAGGGGGTGGACGTGGCCTGAGTGCTCAGGTAGCCTGGGCACAAGGTGGGTCGGGAGAGGAGGGTGCCATTTCTCCCGTCCTGGGCCTAGTCCCTGTGGCCGAGCTCTTTGCAGGCCCCTAGAGGGGAGAGATTCCCAGGATGGCTCTCGGTCACGCAGCTGTGCTTGCAAAGCCCTGGGATGCAGGGAGGAAGGTTTTCAGGAAGGGGGAGTGAGAGGCCCCCAAAGAGCGGCTGTTAGGCAATCCGGGAAAGTGCCATGGGGTGGGGGCAGCAGTTTAGCAGAGAAGTAAATGCAAAGCTAAATAGAGGAGCTTTGGGTCTGTAATTTCAGCGGGGCTGGGGGAGTGATTTGCTTTGGAAGTAAGCGTCCTCTCTCCCACGCAGACCTTGTGCTGGCTCCATACCCGGGGAGCCGCAACTCGGTCTGAACGAGCCCTGGGGTTCCTTCGTGGGGAAATGGAAATCATTCGCTGACGGGGTCA